GCATTCCCTTTTTTCCTGCACTCGCCTCTTTTTATGATTTTTTTTTGTGTGGAAAATCGGGAAATTTAAAGCATAATCGGTCATAAATCGCTGTGCTTTATGCGACCTATGCTAAAGAATTATATAATTATTGTTATCTCCTCGGTATCGCTGACGACAGATGACTTCTTAATGTAAGAAAGATTGTAAATGCCATAAAAATTAGGAGTGTTTTACTTTCAAAAATATTTTGAATAATATGTAAAATTTTACATGGCGTTTACGCTTTTAATAAAACCTGTACAATTATTATAGCAGTTAAAGTATAACGTAATTATAATATTGTTCGTTTCTCGCGCTTGTGTTACAGATATTACGAGATTGTCAGGGATGTCAGGCCGAACAAGGGTACGATCCTCAAGTCTTCGGTGGAGTACATAAAGTTGTTGAAGAACGAGCTCACGAGGATGAAACAGAGCGAGCTCAGGCACAAGCAACTCGAACACCAGAATCGACGGTTGCAACTGCGCGTGCAGGAGCTCGAATTGCAAGCGAAGGCACACGGACTTCCGGTTTCCGACTTCACCTGGGCGTCTACCTCTGCCATGCTCAACAGCTTCCCGAGGAGTAAGCTCGAGCAACGAAAGGTAAGTCGGAAAGTCTTATCCCGGTTGGCTTCGTATCTCGTTACATTCACTTACTCGTTTACATATCATCGCATGTCATTTCATCCGTGACATCATCCATCATACAGAGAAAGTTTCACCGTCTAACTTCTATCATAATAATTATAAACTTGCGCATGTGATCTTAATTCTCGTTCTCTTACCCATATCCGTTCTTTTAACAATAAAAATATATACTCACATTTTTTTATTCAGTTAAAAATAGTATTACATATTTTATATTATATGCAATATAATATATGAAATATTTATAACGACATTTACGATAATTGATTGCTCAATTAAATTATTACTCTTAACATGCGACGATATACGAATGATATCGTTAATTTCGATCGGTAGAGTATTAGTGAGTGCGGTGTGTCGTAACGACGAGTCATTTATTTATAATCTTAATACAGCAGTCGCGATTTTCGAGGCAGTAAAGATCGGCGGCATTGATATATAACGATTCGATACATGATCCTTGATCCGAATAAACCTTCTGCTCGTTCGTCAGACTAGTTTCATAACGCATGCATCTGTTCCGACGAACGGAGGCAAATAGCTGTTTGCTTACTCCATCGTTCATTCGTTCGCGAGAGAGCACAACGTGTCTTCTACGTTTTATATGTATATATCGATACTCTCGTATACGAGAGCGATAAAGCTGTCTTTTGACAGCGCCGACGTAGAGAAGTGTAGCGGTGTTTTATTACGCAACCGAGAGATCGACCCGAGGCCGTGTCTTGCATAATGAGAGAGAAATGTTTTTCTTATTTACGTACAATTAACGCATCGATCTTCGTCTCGCCTCGAGCGCGACTTTCGCGATGATGATCTTTCGATATCTTGTTTGATTGCTGATGACAAAGCGGGGGAAATGTTCGTTTAATACTCGAACAAACGTTAATAAAAAGAGCAGCTTCCACGCGGGATGCAAATTTTACACAGCATTGTAACTATAATTGTGAAAATTTCAGTAATTCGCGAAAAGAAAAATTTTTACAATAATTAAAATAATTTTAATTATTCTATTCTCTCTTTATAATTATTATAATTATTGTGGATATTATAATTTTCGCTTGAAAAAAGGAATGAATTATTTCTCGCTTCGTTATTATTCGAAACGTTAATCTTAATATGTGGCACCAGCACCAAGCTGACTTTCCACCTGACGATTCTTCATCGGCAGCGTATTATTGCCCCGAATAATGAACTGCCGGCTTATCGCCTGGTTGCCGTGCGAATCGCTTTCGTTCGTTTTGCCCCTCGTTATGATTTTGCTCCCCAATTCCGTTTGAGAAAGAATATCTTTCGGAGAGATAACTGTCACCGTTGTCCTTGCTCTTTAAGGCGTTCGATGACGAAGCTATCTCTGTAAGATGACGGCAAAAGTTACCGCTGATTTAGTGGGCGAGATAAAGTTATGCATACGAGGCTTGATGCGCGCAGTTTCGTGATGCGATTAAGAACTCTCAAAGTATCGATAAAACGACAACGCGCTTCGACGAGCCACTTCTGTGACGACAGATCTAGGTCTCTTAAGAAGAGATTATGTCGACACCGAGGAACTAGCTAAAGAAACAGAGGTGGTTTATTAATCTTCTCATATCGACAATGGCGTAACTGATGTCTGTTCACACTTGCAAAATTTTTATACATTTGTATGCAAAAATTGTGTGAAATGTCGCCAGCGCGATTGATCGGAGAGATATTCTCATTACAAATTTTTGAATAAATATCTTGAATAATTTATGAGGAAAAAGCTGCACGATTTTTCTATCTTCTTCTTTATCTCATCTAATTTAATTAATTATATTCCGAGTTTGGACAAACTTTGTTTGTCGCGAATGCGACGGTGTGTGGCCGTGACGATGACTAAACGATTGTTATATGCATTGACGTTAATTCACGTTCGCTCAGTTTCGTCGCGTTTTCGGAAACATTCGCAGTTGCTGCGACGCGCGAGATAACGTAAGAGACGCGATATGACGTACCGAGAGAGGGATGAGTTGAATTATTGTTCGAGATAAAGTTCTGCCGGAGCGTAAGTAGTCTGACAAGCAGCTTCCTCGCGGTTAGAGAAATTTAAACATTGATAATGTCCCGCTTCGCGATTCGAATTCCGAGACCGAGGCGAGCGAAGTGTCTCGCGCGTATTGCACAAGAAATTTTACTGCGACACTTAACCGTCGGTTTGCTTAACGTTAATTTCGTTCCTCAATTTACCTTGCGCGAAACGTAAACGGTCTCGTGTCACAAGTGTGTCCCAGATAACGATAAATTATTTTCAGAAAAAAAGGATAAGAGAGAGAGAGAGAGAGAGAGAGAGAGACGACGAGTCATTTATTTATAATCTTAATACAGCAGTCGCGATTTTCGAGGCAGTAAAGATCGGCGGCATTGATATATAACGATTCGATACATGATCCTTGATCCGAATAAACCTTCTGCTCGTTCGTCAGACTAGTTTCATAACGCATGCATCTGTTCCGACGAACGGAGGCAAATAGCTGTTTGCTTACTCCATCGTTCATTCGTTCGCGAGAGAGCACAACGTGTCTTCTACGTTTTATATGTATATATCGATACTCTCGTATACGAGAGCGATAAAGCTGTCTTTTGACAGCGCCGACGTAGAGCAGTGTAGCGGTGTTTTATTACGCAACCGAGAGATCGACCCGAGGCCGTGTCTTGCATAATGAGAGAGAAATGTTTTTCTTATTTACGTACAATTAACGCATCGATCTTCGTCTCGCCTCGAGCGCGACTTTCGCGATGATGATCTTTCGATATCTTGTTTGATTGCTGATGACAAAGCGGGGGAAATGTTCGTTTAATACTCGAACAAACGTTAATAAAAAGAGCAGCTTCCACGCGGGATGCAAATTTTACACAGCATTGTAACTATAATTGTGAAAATTTCAGTAATTCGCGAAAAGAAAAATTTTTACAATAATTAAAATAATTTTAATTATTCTATTCTCTCTTTATAATTATTATAATTATTGTGGATATTATAATTTTCGCTTGAAAAAAGGAATGAATTATTTCTCGCTTCGTTATTATTCGAAACGTTAATCTTAATATGTGGCACCAGCACCAAGCTGACTTTCCACCTGACGATTCTTCATCGGCAGCGTATTATTGCCCCGAATAATGAACTGCCGGCTTATCGCCTGGTTGCCGTGCGAATCGCTTTCGTTCGTTTTGCCCCTCGTTATGATTTTGCTCCCCAATTCCGTTTGAGAAAGAATATCTTTCGGAGAGATAACTGTCACCGTTGTCCTTGCTCTTTAAGGCGTTCGATGACGAAGCTATCTCTGTAAGATGACGGCAAAAGTTACCGCTGATTTAGTGGGCGAGATAAAGTTATGCATACGAGGCTTGATGCGCGCAGTTTCGTGATGCGATTAAGAACTCTCAAAGTATCGATAAAACGACAACGCGCTTCGACGAGCCACTTCTGTGACGACAGATCTAGGTCTCTTAAGAAGAGATTATGTCGACACCGAGGAACTAGCTAAAGAAACAGAGGTGGTTTATTAATCTTCTCATATCGACAATGGCGTAACTGATGTCTGTTCACACTTGCAAAATTTTTATACATTTGTATGCAAAAATTGTGTGAAATGTCGCCAGCGCGATTGATCGGAGAGATATTCTCATTACAAATTTTTGAATAAATATCTTGAATAATTTATGAGGAAAAAGCTGCACGATTTTTCTATCTTCTTCTTTATCTCATCTAATTTAATTAATTGTATTCCGAGTTTGGACAAACTTTGTTTGTCGCGAATGCGACGGTGTGTGGCCGTGACGATGACTAAACGATTGTTATATGCATTGACGTTAATTCACGTTCGCTCAGTTTCGTCGCGTTTTCGGAAACATTCGCAGTTGCTGCGACGCGCGAGATAACGTAAGAGACGCGATATGACGTACCGAGAGAGGGATGAGTTGAATTATTGTTCGAGATAAAGTTCTGCCGGAGCGTAAGTAGTCTGACAAGCAGCTTCCTCGCGGTTAGAGAAATTTAAACATTGATAATGTCCCGCTTCGCGATTCGAATTCCGAGACCGAGGCGAGCGAAGTGTCTCGCGCGTATTGCACAAGAAATTTTACTGCGACACTTAACCGTCGGTTTGCTTAACGTTAATTTCGTTCCTCAATTTACCTTGCGCGAAACGTAAACGGTCTCGTGTCACAAGTGTGTCCCAGATAACGATAAATTATTTTCAGAAAAAAAGGATAAGAGAGAGAGAGAGAGAGAGAGAGAGAGAGAGAGAGAGAGAGAATATCACAGAGAATGATCTCTCTTGCTCTTTTATAAAAATATATGAGATATAATTTTCGTAAATGATCGTTTTTAGAGATTTACTAATATACAGTCTGTATAATATAATTTATCTGATTCATTACACGCGTTTGCTTACGTATGATTTTATTTATACTTTACTAGCTCAATTTATTATATAAATTAAGACAAGATTAAAAACGGAGGAAAATGATGGTTCGAAGAAATAATCCGCTACTCGCGTTCGTTCCGAGATTGCATAATTGCAAACGTAATTGCACGTCTTAAATCCGTACGCGCCTGAATGTCGTGCAAAATATTTACCTCTCTACCGCCTCGTCGTTGTGCGTACGCTCTGCAGAGCGTAGTCCTTATCGCCCGTCCGCCTCTTATCGTACAGGCTACCTCACGCGAGACTTATACCTTTTATCTTGCATCTCGGCGCGGCGATGTATTTTCGCGAGAGGAACACACGCAGCGTTGCGTCGTGTCGGGACAAAGGATAATCGCCGAATGAGTTGTAACGTCAGAAACACGGCGTTGCGCAACCACGCGCCACAGCATTTTTTCATGCAAATTTAACGCCCTCCGCGCGCGCCGTCCGAGTACACGCGGTTATGTAAAAAGTGCATGCGATCGTTTCGCGGAATACCGCGTGAAGTATGAAATCGTACGACCGCGAAAAAAATGTGGTTGCCGGCGAAGCGACGAGATTTTTATTTTTCAAAAGGATAATAAGCGCATTTTACAGTTTTCTTCTCTCTTGCAAAATTATACCGTAGCAATTTTCGACGAGTCCAATTTATGGAGATTCACCCGAAGAACACATACATGTTTACGCAGTAAGCCTTATGTAGGATATTCGCGGTTTTCAAGCAGCTCCTTTCATTCGCGACGCTTGAGACACTCTCGCGTCTGTAGTGTAACGCGAATAAAACTCGTTGAATGCAAATTCTACCATAAATTCGTGACGACTAATCCGATGTATTAGTCGCACCGGTAATATAACGACGAATTGGAACGAAGTAAATTGGATCCACGGTCGTTTGCGTCTGAAACACGATTGGAAATTAATTCCGGTTCTGGTAAGCCAACCCGTCTGTGACTTCACAAAGTTATCAGCTGCATCTGGCAGAGAAACAGCTTCAATCAGCTTACTTTGATACGTGTATGACGATAGCGTTTAAATCCTCATAATATCGACTATTTAATTTTCCGAATTGTTTTGGATTGAATGATTAATTCTTTTTTATTTTACAATTTTAATGCTTTTATTTTTCTATGGAAAAGACAGTGTATTTGATAATTGATTTTATCATTTTCTCGTTGCGCATATTTTATAATATTTTAAAGACCAATCTGTCAATTAAGAAGTCCTGATAATTTCTGATGAGTCTCAAGATTTAATTTTCCGAATAATCTCATTTTCAAAATTTTTTTCAAAGACTACTCTTTTTCAACTAATATATGTAGCTATTGACTGCTCCTAATCTTAGTACTAATTTTGTTACAAAATTCAGCATGTACATTCTATCGCATGTGCAATGTAAATAGCAATAAACGTTCGATATTACCCATACATAACATCGCTTTTCCGCAGAGCACATCATTAACCGAATGGACAAGCATCGAATATATGTAAACATGTGTTTATATTTCCTGCTTTAAAAAAGATTTCATCAGCGCATCCAATCCTACTTTTTCACAGAAGATCAACAGCATATCCATTTTTTCATGGAAACTTCAGCATATCCATTCCTAGCTTTATAGAAGATCTCGCATTGGAACACTACTCGAATTCCCACGTTGCATCCTGTCCCAACGTTTGAATTTGCGCCCGAGGGCGGCTCGTTTTACAGGATGCTGGATACTTTTCTGCCGTAGATACCGGATCTGGCGGTGACGGAGGAGGCGAGCCTGAGCATGTCGCAGCTCGAGGATCTCATGGAGGACGACACTGGCGGTCCCGTTCACGGCGGCGACCCGATGCTGTCGTCCCCGCATCTGCCACCGTTGAGCCCACCTGCGGCCGCCTGTCACCACGGTTTAACCGACGAGGACACCCTCGGCAGTCTGGCGGTGACCACGTCGAATTCCTCGTCCGACATGGACATTGTCGCGTAGCGTCCAAAACCACCGTCGTCCGTCGGCTTCGCGCGCGATCGAAGTCGACTCCCGAAACTTCCATCGTCGCGGAATTTCCTGATCGGCTTTTGACCGAGATTATTGATTTAGGCTTGAGAGTGAAAGAGAGAAAGAGAGAGAGAGAGAGAGAGAGAGAGAGAGAATGAAAGAAAAAATCGGAACGCTATTTTGGCGCGAAACGAAAGCGGAGAGCTGCTGCGACATCGTATATCTTCATCGTGGAAGAACAGGAAGGAAATTCGTGCGACATCAATTGGATTTTATTGGAGCGACCGCGCGCGCTGATGCGGATTTATTTAAAACTAGTCATCGACTCGAGAGAAACTTACTTTGGAGGATTGGCAAAAGAAACAAAGAGGTATACGCATACGCGGATTAGATGTTGCTTGCCACAGAGAAGATTAAAGGAGATTGTTTCGAATATTTCACAATCGAGCAAATGATCATGTTTGTACTGGAAAAACAGTCGTCGTTGAAGAAGAAATACCGACATTCTCTGAAACGAAATTCCGATTACTTGATTAAATATAAATCAAGATAATTATATATTGACGAACTCCTTCTAGAAAATTGAAAGACACAATTAAATACATTCATCGGACTTCACAGATACTGCCAATTATCTTAGCAATAATTTTCACAATGATGAAGAATATATCCAGCGATTACTGTTGCAACATCCTTACTTCTTATCTAATATGTCATTAATGAGCGCTGTCGAAGACCCTTTCAACCTGGGAAATCATCAAGAAGATCATGAAAAAAATTACCTTGACAAGGACGTGTCAAATTCGCATTACGCGTCCTTGAAGATCCAGTACGCGGATCAGATGGAAGTTTTTCGGGTCGATGACGAGAACCTCAAGAGGCAATCGGGCGTTTTCAAGCTGTCCGGGATCTTTCCAAGTGGCGGTGAAAGTCGTTATCGCCGGGCGACGGAGGAGGAGTTCAGGGTCGTTCCAATTGCGAAGAACGGAGGGCTCGTTGTCACGATTCTACGAACGGCTGGCCGTTACACCGATAGAATGCGTGACGTTTTACGTGCGTTGTATGTTATGTCAGTGCACCCGAAGGACGCGCTTTTGTCGCGATTGAGACGAGCCTAAACGTTCGCTATCATTAATCGAGGACGATATGTCGTCACGATGCGCATCAGTGATGCGTCTTGTATTGCTGGACGATTTCAGGATCTTTGACGAAGAACGAGAACGTCAAAAGTGCTAATTATATATAGTTTGTTATGATATTACTTAATCACCGAGAAATTATTTTCGTAGATTGCGAGATGTGCCGAGAAAAGATGGTCTCCAAGAGAGATGAGGAAGGGGAAATATTTTTAATAAAAGATTTTCTCCCGGGATATATATCTTTTCTATAAGAGATATATAATCGCAAAAATAAAAGAGAATATTGGGATAAAAACAAAATGTTGCAATAACAAAAAATTAACTGAAGAGAGAGAAGAATCGGATCAATTTCAGTATATTAAAAGAGATTTGCAATTTCAATCTTCAATTTGTTAAATATAATAACTTAATATACGAATCGAGTGCCTTTATATAAAAAGAATCGAAAAAACATATTTTCGAAAATACACCCTTCGATTTTAGTATTAGAGTTCGTATATGTAGTACCACACAATCAGGAATTTCTTATCTTAGAAATACACAATGTAAAAGTTTTAAACAGTTTTATTAACAGTTTCTAAAATCATCTGCATAGCAAAAAATTTTTAATCTTTGTAAAAATTAGTGATTATCTTTAAAATTATGGCCTTTCGAGGATTATGAAATTCTCTGTGTTTTATAAAATTATATTATTTTGCTACTATTTTTATCTCAATCGACATTTTTTCCAAAGATACGATGATAGAAAATACAAATATCAGAGAATTATATCAAATACAAAGTACTAGTATACCAAAACAATTTTTGATAAAATTCGATCGCGTCAGTAAGATAAAGGGCTTCATACGTACACGTAAGAGACCCGTATTCAACTGGTTATTTGCGAAAAGGCTCACGCAATCTGCCATTAATTGTCTATCGTACGCGACAAAGGCGCCCGACATTGACGTCGATATCGGGGCGATATCGCGCCCGATACCCCGAGAACAGGCTCGTAGCGGATGAGCGAGTACTATACTCAAGTTCGTTATAAAGTTTGCTAATAGTTATTGTCCTCTCGGCAGCGTGCACGTCGTGGCCTGCCTCGTGTGTCGCTCGCAGCGAGCATACGGTGGCTCTTGTGCTCGACGGTCCTTGATTTCATCGCTTACCTTGCGTTCGCCGGGTATAACCCACATTGCCCGAGTCGCCACGTCGCCTCGAGCAAGGATCGATGATTATTTGACCGGAGAATCACCGTCGATAAATCATTGCTGCTCGATAGCAAGGGCAGTAATTAAAGTATCGCCTACTTTTCAGGAGAGAACGAGAAGAAATTTCAATATTCATTATAAAACGGAATATTGGGAGAAGGATAAGAGATATTATTTTAAATACATAAGTCGAAATATTATTAAATATCAGGCAAGCTTTTACAATGACGATTAATTGGATTTTTACAATAAAATGAAAATAAGATTCTTTTACCAGTTAGTCGATCAGCGCAATTTTGATAATTTTGAAATTAAATATAATTTCTTTTTAATCAAAAAGACACAAAAGAGAAACAAAGACTATGAGGATATTCTTTAGGACTGTTCTTTCGCTTTCTTCTACGAGTGTATTTTCTATGTAATTTCCTGATTAAATGTTTCTATAGCTTTGAGCAATGTTAGGGAAATAATAACGGTCTAGAATATGTAAACACTATCACTTCCTATCCAAATACACACGGTTAAATCACAAGCGATCACGGATAATGGACACTTCTTATTATTTGAAGAGATTAGTGGGAAAAAAAATTTTTTTAAAGTTATTTTTCAAAAATCTGGTAAATATTAATTTTCTTTCTACTCTGTACAAATATCTCAAATGAGTAATATATTTAATACATTTTAATTATGGTATAATTGATATGATATGATGATATATGATATTGTAAATATCAATATTATATTTGATATCTCAATCACGCAGTATGTAGCTGACGCATTTTTCTTACGATAGGGATAAGGTTATTTCCTATCTTATTTATCTACTTTGATTACATAGAAAGTGATAGAGTTAGACATTCCAGACGTGGACTATAGGCAGAAGACCAACATACTGCCCTCGAGTGTGTTCTTATCGCATCATTAGTTCTTAAATAAATAGAGAACTCTCTTTTGTGAAGAAATACATTCTCCGTAGTTCATAGTCTAGAAAAACGCTCGTAAAGAGAAGCGTTCGAAACTTTTTGATAAACGAAACGGCGTCTCATGGATTCAATGGTGCCAGTTTAAATCAAGATAAATAAAAGATTGATCTTCCCCCCTTGAGATGAAAAATATTTTGTTATATGTATACATATCGCGAGAATATACTATATTATAACTTTCCTCGTTTTTCTCTGAATTAGTTTATATATAAGTCAATTCCTCGATAAAAATGACATTTATAAAATATATTCGACACATCGAAACCGGGACAATCAATGTCGTTCCGTGACTCTGTTTCTAAAAGATAAAAGACTAAACTTTTCACATCATATACAACAGAAAAACAATAATATATACACAACAATAATATATACACAACAGACGCTCATGTACAAATTATCCTTATGATTTTGAGTCGCGGAACGACTTAGTTTGTTCTGGCTCCAAGATGGTCGATGTGTAAGGTACCTATAGAAGAGAATGTTTTTGTATCCAATACGCGGTACCCACACTAGCGCAGGTCGCAAGTTTTTAGTGTACGATCTGTAACTCATCTCGAGGACACTTCTTCGTCAGCACATACTCCAGGTATATATACCTTCTTACGAGATCTATGTAAACGAACTACAGAACAGGTCGGAAACGCGCGCGCGTTGTCGTGCGCGATATTCTCGTTTCTCGCAAGCGTGACTGAACAAACGAGCAAAACGTTGCAAAAGCAACGGCAACAACAGCAGTTGTTGCTCGCGGAGACTGCGATGCCCTGAGGCTGATACGTCCATTAACAAATCATTCCGTTCGCGATATATGAATTTATTGCGCAACGCAATGTTGTCGCGCGCAAATACAAACGACCGTTGTAGCGAGTAATTTTATGTTAACGTTGCCAACGTACGCTCTTGTTGATTAATTGATGTTTAATTTTAGCTGCGAGAAAAGCTCGGCAAACATCAAAGATGCAACGTACGCGCGCGCATGAGAAAGCGAGAGAGAGAGAGAGAGGGAGAGGAAAGGTTTTGTAAGAAATATATTTAAAAAAAACCTTTGAAAAAAAATTCTTTCTCTCTTGCGTTTTCAAGCTGTAAAAGTTAATTAGGGAATTTCATATAGAGCGCCTCGGTTATTTTTAACGCTTTATCATTTACGAATTCTTTTGTAATTTTCCAGTCAATTTTTCTTCGAACGAAAATTTGATCAAACGCTATTCTTGTCGCATATTCTTTCAATATCTTACATTAAGAAATTAAATAAAGAATAAGGTTCCAGTTTTTATTTGCAGTTTCAAAAGATAATCTTTACACAAGGACGCTTTTCTTTTTCATTATTTACAATTGGATAAATTATTAATGGCTTGATTTTTGTTCAGGAAAAGTAGACTCCAAATTGATCAAAGAATAGTCTGTCCGCAAATGTAGAGAGACCCCGTTTCTCCGAGACATCCTATATTTATGCCTCAAAATTAGGTGCAAAGTCGACGAGCAAAAGAAATTTCGTGCTTTGAGTGATTATCAAAGTTCGTCGAATGTTCTTTCGCGAAATCGGACCAACTCGCAATTCCGTGCACGAGCCGCGCGATACTGAATATGTAACGATTCGACGACACGGTGCATTCGGGTGCCTCGGGTCGAAATAATGGGGAGAGATGAGAGGGAGGGACTCTCTCCCCCGCTGTCGGTGCTGTGTAACCACCGGGGGAAAATAAATAATCCGAGTACACGGTGTGCGCCTAAGGTAAATACCGATTCCGGTGGCTCGCGAAAAACTTTCTTGTGGGGGACGACGTTTCTGTTAAAAAAGGGGGCTTGTTAGGACTTTTGGCGAGAACGTGACTGTGCTCGCGAGTTTGACCCGAGATTTGGTGCGAAATTTCACGCATGCAAAATATTCGCTTCGTGCAAACGTGAGGATGGTTGTCGTCAAATTCGTTTATTTTTTCAATTAGCTAGAAATTAGAAAGATAAAAAATGTGTGTGTGCACAATTCACTTTTCGTTTTGATTAAGTATTCGGCGTTTAAGTTCGATAATTGATCGATGGCAAATAATATCGCAAAAATTTAATTAACATTGTTTCTTCATTGATATCGAAGCGGCGCGATGACGTCGAAAGTTGCAAATTTTTCCGACTCAAAACGCCAAGGGCAATTGCCATCGTGAATGCATAACGAAAGTTAAGTATGCAATAATGATTAGCAGACATAACTGGTTTGCCAGCGAACCTCGAAATAGGTCATACCCCGAGGGTACGCCATTTATAGAGTGCTGCCTACCTTTAAACCCAGAACGAAACTAATTTCTGTCAGAACGAAATTTCACGACGATGTGCAATAGCGCGTTGCGGAAGACGTATTGGAAATTTATCGGAACACAGCTATAACACTTGTTTCCGACTGTAACATTCCCTTGACGCATATTGATGTCGCAAGAATAATTTTCAAATCTAAAAAAAAAAGATATTTAAATATCGCGTTACATGTCAACAAGAAATTTTCTTTCCTTTATTTCTATAATTTTTTACAATTTTTTTTTATATCGAAATAGATTATTAAATTACACATTTTAGTGTTTAATATTTTTAATTTGTTTCTTGGGTTTGGAAATACGATCTTTTACATTTTGCGCAAAATTTTATTCTTTCAAAGAAGATTTTGCGAAATTAATTTTTGAAGTAATTTAATATAAACATTGCGAGATCGTTTTTATGAGTGACAGACGTGACAGACGTCTAAAATATGATTAGACGGAAATCGAGTACATATTTTTGAATGTAATATCGATTTGATTTTCGTAATTTAATGTCATCCGTTCTGTTTCTCGTGTACTCCGTTCTGTTTTTCCTGTGATTTTAATGGTTTTATTATTTCTATCTCGTTCAATTGGTCAAGATCCAATTGCTGTTTCTTCTTCTTTTTCTTTGATAGTTTCTTTCCGAACAACTCGCCATCCTGAATCGTTTCAGGAAGCTTCTTGTTCAATATCTCCGGAAGAAGAAGTGACATCAAGCCGCCAAATAAGGCGCACGTTCCGAAAATAACGAGTGGCAATGGTGTCCATATTTCCGACAGGTGATTAACATATGGCGCGATAACTCCGCCAATTCGAGCAAAAGTGGAGCTTGCACCCAATCCGACATTTCGGATAACAGTCGGATTGCAAGTTTTCCTATCATTGCCAAGCAAAATAGCCACGGCATATCGGCAGGGACAAACAATGTAGCAAGTAATGCTAATCCGGACCTCATACAGCTGCAAAGGCTGATTTTCCTACCCCATCGATTCAGGGTGAAGATGAGAAACATATACGCCAGTACTTCCACTATCCCGGATATTACAAAATTAACGTAATCGTTACCGCCGAGATTGAACGTGTGCCAAGACAGTCCGTAGTACGTTTCGCTGTTAACTAGCCAGTTGAAAAACAAAACGATGCTTTTTGCTCATTCGGAAGTTTGATCTCTCGAACATAATTCGTCGTACGAGGCGACAACAATCCATATTCAATTTTCGCAATTCAGTCATGCTGACGTCGCAAGCTTGCGAGTCGTCCTTGCGAATCGGTATCGTTTGCATGCGGGTGCATAACGTCGCGACAACGGGAGTAAAAACGAGAGAAAAAAATGGGAGGGCGAAAGTACAAGGCAGGTGTGCCGACCATAAATAAGAGACACTGCTGCCGATGTTACGTGCTGTACAACGAGATTGAAAATACTGCGAACGCAGAATATATGTGGTTGCGCGTTTCTCTCGCCCGATTGAAGCCCCTCGTTACATCGGCATTGCGCTACTTTTTAAAAGATGCTTACTAAATTTCGCGATTCAATCACACGAGAAATTTAAGAGTTAGCCAACGCTCTTTCTTTATTTGTTAATTTCTCTTCTGTCACTTTAATATCAATCTTTATGTTCATCCAATTGCTGTTTCTTCTTCTTTTTCTTTGATAGTTTCTTTCCGAACAACTCGCCATCCTGAATCGTTTCAGGAAGCTTCTTGTTCAATGTCTCCGGAAGAAGAAGGGACATCAAGCCGCCAAATAAGGCGCATGTTCCGAAAATAACGAGTGGCAATGGTGTCCATATTTCCGACTGGAAGCATGAATAGCATATAATTTTATTTAATTTTGTATAGTTTATAAAAATAATTGCTAATTTACCAAGAACGTCAATAAATTTAATTCTTTTTTTCTGATATCGAGAGAAGTGCGTGATGAATACAACGTACCAGATGATTAACATATGGTGCGATAACTCCGCCAATTCGAGCAAAAGTGGAGCTTGCACCCAATCCGACATTTCGGATAACAGTCGGGAATTGTTCTGCAGTGAACACATAAATTGCACCATAGGAAGATGTGATTGCAAGTTTTCCTATCATTGCCAAGCAAACGACTAGCCACGGCATATCTAAAAAGATACATAAACTTTATAATTACAAGATAGACTTTTATGAATTTGCCTGAATTTTATGAATCGTTGTGAAATAAAATAAATGTTACAAAGTTTTGCAGTATCATATTAAACGAAACCGCATATTATTCATTGGCTCTCACCGGCAGGGACAAACAATGTAGCAAGTAATGCTAATCCGGACCTCATACAGCTGCAAAGGCTGATTTTCCTACCCCATCGATTCAGGGTGAAGATGAGAAACATATACGCCAGTACTTCCACTATCCCGGATATTACAAAATTAACGTAATCGTTACCGCCGAGATTGAACGTGTGCCAAGACAGTCCGTAGTACGTTTCGCTGTTAACTAGCCAGTTGAAAAACAAAACGATGCTTTTTGCTCATTCGGAAGTTTGATCTCTCGAACATAATTCGTCGTACGAGGCGACAACAATCCATATTCAATTTTCGCAATTCAGTCATGCTGACGTCGCAAGCTTGCGAGTCGTCCTTGCGAATCGGTATCGTTTGCATGCGGGTGCATAACGTCGCGACAACGGGAGTAAAAACGAGAGAAAAAAATGGGAGGGCGAAAGTACAAGGCAGGTGTGCCGACCATAAATAAGAGACACTGCTGCCGATGTTACGTGCTGTACAACGAGATTGAAAATACTGCGAACGCAGAATATATGTGGTTGCGCGTTTCTCTCGCCCGATTGAAGCCCCTCGTTACATCGGCATTGCGCTACTTTTTAAAAGATGCTTACTAAATTTCGCGATTCAATCACACGAGAAATTTAAGAGTTAGCCAACGCTCTTTCTTTATTTGTTAATTTCTCTTCTGTCACTTTAATATCAATCTTTATGTTCTTTTTTTTTTTTAATTTTGATATCTGAAAATTGAAGAAAATATATCTTGTCGATGGTATTTATATTCTGGCGCTCGCGTTTGGATGTGGGTTTCCCCGTAAGTTTCACCGTCTCGTGAATAAAACATCGGCGCGGACCAGGCCGAGGACGAGCACGCGCTCGCAATGAGACGCGCGTGTCGCGTGTTTTAACACGCATTCGAATTATACGTATCCCAGTAAGCCGGTTCCACCGGCTTTTCCCCGTCGTTGGTGCTTTTGCCACGCACCTTTGTCGTTCGTTCGAGCACGCTGCATTCGCTCGCTCGTTGACAGCCGATGGCTAACGGTGCCATAAGCGTGTCATGCGAACGGCGAATTTAAATGCCGTCACATCGGCAGTGCGTGTGCAATTTAAAGATACGCTTGTGTCAAATAATCATGCTTTTGCAAAGAACCGATAATTAATTTTATATATTGATCTTGAATTTTAATAACATGATTTTATCAAAATTACTACATTTTCTTGCTTATACTTTCATTTTTAATGTCTTTTCAAGTTTGAATCTTTTTTTTTTTTATAAAGTGCATTCGCCTCTCGTAGATCTGCCACTCGTGACAGAATCGTTGGAGGAATCGCGGGAATTATCGTTGACGCGCGTATTTCTCGTCGAATTTTCTCCGGGCGCAGCCTCCTCGACGCAAAATTGCGCACGCTTCGCAAGCACAGATAAATCTTCTCCAGATGTCGAGCCCTCGCAAGCGAGAGCATATCCCGACCGATATCGTATCTCGAAACGGACGCGTAAGTCAATACTCCCGGAATGCGAAAAGACGTTTTCCGCCGAGCGAGTTTGCAGGAAGAGAGATCATTTCGACACGCGAGAAGAGATCCGCGATCTCTCGACTTTTCGCAGTCCTCTATGATAACATGTGTGATACGATAAGGTATATACACCCAATAGATATAAGCGAATAAGTACAATACGTAGGCTAGGAGAAAACGTGCGAAGAATATATTTTCGGAAATATTTTACGACGGAGAATCTTACGCTACGCAATATCGTCAAATCTTGCATCTTATCCTGTATTTAGGATCCTTGTCGACTCGATAGTTGTTTGCGATTTTTTTTTTGGCAAATATATATAAAATACACGTGCGAAAAATACATGTAACGGCACGCATACAGGAAAAGTGCGAAAGATAGCGATAAAGCGAGAATGGTGTTATCAATTTTCATAGTTTATTTGTTGACAATGCAAGAGAGATAGATGCGGAAAGCGTATAATGTTAATGATATCGATAGTAATAGTAATAGTAAAAATTATCGTTATTGTTGTCGCATCGTTAATGTTACCGTTTTGAGACCATACTTTATCATCCGTCATTGTTACATCGGCGTATCGCCATTGGCGATGTTACGTCTCGATGTCGATGACTATCCATTGTTATCACTTACTATTGTACAATTATTAGGGCATGCAATTACGATCATGTAATTGTGATCGTTATAAATGCGCGATGACGAGCCAGGCGAATCGAAATTGTATTAAGTTCGATGATGATTGGCCGTGATGGCGAAGCGGATGAATTATGTTATGTTATGTATATGTTTTACTCGTTGTTACTCGCGATATTATGGTTGCAATTTGCGTAGAAGTGGATATGACGCAGTGCCTGACAAAATGAAGATAAAGGATGACGTTACTGAATTGTTGTGAAGTCTATTCATTCGTTATATCAGCATGATTGCCTCTCTCCTATTTTCATCTCCTTTTTTGGCATCATCGAAATCCGCTTATTAAATACGCGAATTGTACATACGTGATACAAGAGAAATGTGTAGTATATGCAACGATCAATTTATTCAATTCGGAAAAATTTTTTTATTTTGACAGATTTGTCTTTTATATTTAGTCATAAAAAATTTGCATGTATAATTAAGCATCTACATTTTTCAAATTGAAATTTTTACACTACAAAGCTACTTTTATACTGCAAATTTAATTTACAAATGTCCCGTAGTCAAGAATACCACAGAGCCTTAAATATTTAATCAACTTGATTATCATTGAAACGGATAAGCTACGTTTATTTGAAATTCTTAATTTTTCCGCGGATTATCTGCATTGTGACGGGTCAATAACCCGCCGGCGGTGAGGAAAAGTGCGCGCTTAGTGGCGATATAAAATTCAACATCCAGAAGGAGTTAATCGTGAACCCGGAACTCTTTCTTTTCAAAAGCGAGATTTGAGACGAAGTAAAAAAAGAAGGGAAAAGAAAGTAGGAAGGCGAGAAAAATGGCAAAGAAGCCGAGAACACAAAAATGAGACATAACGAGAAGATTCATCGAGATTAACTGATATCTCTTCGGTGTTTCTACAGCCTCCGAGTACGAGAAGATCGCATCTTTATCCCATTTCGTCCTCGCTATAATTCCTTCATTCAGCGGTAACGAGCGATCACGAGAAGGAAATGCAATTTGCCGTGACGACGGACGGAAATGGGCTTCTCGAGTGGTTTCGGCGTCGGTCAGGTCGGTGCACAGGGCAAGGAGGAGGTCAAGGCTGATACAGGTTCGCCTATATGGCTAATCGCATGGCTCCGGGCTAAAGAGAAAATAATGCTCGGCTATTCGCCTATATCCGATCTTTCGAATTGACCGCGTGATATTATAAAAAGAGTATAATGTTTAATACATGTCGCAGTGAATCGCCATTGTTTTCCTCTCTATTCGTGAAAAATATTCCTTTCTTCATGTTTCCAAAATGAATGAATTTGTCATCTTGAATTTGCTCGTTAGAAATTTTCAGAAAATTTCATAAAAGGTTTATTAAAAAATGATGATTGTTACTATTTCTATAAATTATTTTGAGGAAATATATATATACATGATAATATATTACACTCGACGTAAATTTATCATAATTATATTAATTTTATATCGCAATTTATTTCGTGAAATTCAAGTATTATATGCACGGATCCCTTATATCTGTAGGAGTACGTAGAGCTTAGGTCATATCGCGTGATAAAGATTTAGAAAGAGTCAGATATAACGATGCACGTATCTCGAGATTCTTAATGCGATTTTATCGTCGCGATGAGAACTCAATGGAAGGTCGCACGAATTAAGATAATTAGTTCGATATCACAACTTCTGCAAATTTAATGATACTCTTTCACGAGACACGTGTCGCATGTCTCGTTACAATTTTAATGACGGATTACCGGGTGCTCAAGGATGATGCACGAGAGATACGGATGTCATTGAGCATTATGGTTACGATGCACGCGAGTCATCGATCCAGCATGCGCATTTCTACGTAAACAAAATCAACGCTTGTGTAATGACTCAACAATCACAGAAAAGTAATATTTGTCGTGTATGAATGTTACTTTCTTAGAATATAGTGTTCTTGAAATATTTAACGAATTATATTTTTTTAGATATTTTTATTTATTCGAGAAAATCATTTGGCGCAATGTGATCGATTACAAGACGGACAATTGCTTTATAATTTTGCAAATAAATAATGCGAACGCTTTAGTCGTCTGATGGTCGCATTGAGTAACAAGCCGGCTTGCTTTACAGGACCGATAATTACGGGCGACTCTTTTACGATGCCTGGCTACCTTCATTCCCAACGCTATCCCCGAACCTATCCCGGCCAATCCTCCTACACCCTTTGTGCAAGTACCTAACCCTCCGCTACCAACCCCTTTCTCGCTCGATACCGGTGTATAATGGATCGCTTCAATTTACTCGACGGCGCTGCCTTCGGTGCCACGATCCCGCGCCGTGGAAAATCGAAAAATTCCGGAAGTGCGAGAATGAGGAACGATGGACCGGGAGCTGTTCGCTTCAGAAACGGGGCTGTTGTACGCGACTCCGTCGGGGAAACGACGAGATTTCATTATAATGGAGGAGAGCCTCGCGGCAAAGTGCGAAGTCTCGCGGCAGGTCTATCCTCCGGAGACGAAAAAAAAATTGGCGGGAATTATGTCAGAAAGTGTCTACCGTCAAAAAGAGAGGGAGCGAGAGAGAAAGAGAACAAATTGAGAGGCCGCACGACCATGGGGAGGTTTGTTTAACCGATGCGTGCCGGAGGGAATTGTATAAACACGAAGATAAAATCGCCACGTTATGGGAATTGAAATCACATTTGCTGAAATAAGTTCTATCTTTTTTGTAATATTATTGTTTAAAAAACATTCTCTCTCTGCTCTTCTAATTTTATCGTCGTTATATATTGTAGGCTTTTTATTATTTTTTTCATTCACATAATTCGGAGAAACTTGCCTTTTAATTTTATATTACGTATTCAATTTAAAAGACACTTACTTAAATAAACACTTAAAAAAGAGTGTCAGATATAACGATGCACGTATCTCGAGATTCTTAATGCGATTTTATCGTCGCGATGAGAACTCAATGGAAGGTCGCACGAATTAAGATAATTAGTTCGATATCACAACTTCTGCAAATTTAATGATACTCTTTCACGAGACACGTGTCGCATGTCTCGTTACAATTTTAATGACGGATTACCGGGTGCTCAAGGATGATGCACGAGAGATACGGATGTCATTGAGCATTATGGTTACGATGCACGCGAGTCATCGATCCAGCATGCGCATTTCTACGTAAACAAAATCAACGCTTGTGTAATGACTCAACAATCACAGAAAAGTAATATTTGTCGTGTATGAATGTTACTTTCTTAGAATATAGTGTTCTTGAAATATTTAACGAATTATATTTTTTTAGATATTTTTATTTATTCGAGAAAATCATTTGGCGCAATGTGATCGATTACAAGACGGACAATTGCTTTATAATTTTGCAAATAAATAATGCGAACGCTTTAGTCGTCTGATGGTCGCATTGAGTAACAAGCCGGCTTGCTTTACAGGACCGATAATTACGGGCGACTCTTTTACGATGCCTGGCTACCTTCATTCCCAACGCTATCCCCGAACCTATCCCGGCCAATCCTCCTACACCCTTTGTGCAAGTACCTAACCCTCCGCTACCAACCCCTTTCTCGCTCGATACCGGTGTATAATGGATCGCTTCAATTTACTCGACGGCGCTGCCTTCGGTGCCACGATCCCGCGCCGTGGAAAATCGAAAAATTCCGGAAGTGCGAGAATGAGGAACGATGGACCGGGAGCTGTTCGCTTCAGAAACGGGGCTGTTGTACGCGACTCCGTCGGGGAAACGACGAGATTTCATTATAATGGAGGAGAGCCTCGCGGCAAAGTGCGAAGTCTCGCGGCAGGTCTATCCTCCGGAGACGAAAAAAAAATTGGCGGGAATTATGTCAGAAAGTGTCTACCGTCAAAAAGAGAGGGAGCGAGAGAGAAAGAGAACAAATTGAGAGGCCGCACGACCATGGGGAGGTTTGTTTAACCGATGCGTGCCGGAGGGAATTGTATAAACACGAAGATAAAATCGCCACGTTATGGGAATTGAAATCACATTTGCTGAAATAAGTTCTATCTTTTTTGTAATATTATTGTTTAAAAAACATTCTCTCTCTGCTCTTCTAATTTTATCGTCGTTATATATTGTAGGCTTTTTATTATTTTTTTCATTCGCATAATTCGGAGAAACTTGCCTTTTAATTTTATATTACGTATTCAATTTAAAAGACACTTACTTAAATAAACACTTAAATAAATCTGCATATTTTCTCGCAAACTTGCGCGGTTTCATGGGGGAGGGGGGGGGGGGGAGGAGGGGGAGACTCAAATAT